AGAAAAAATCAATTTTTCAAAATCATATGACGATCATTGATTTTTTAAAATGAAATGATATAATTTTGTTTTAAATTTTTTACACAATACGATTTATTTAATTATTTTGCATATAAAAATATAAAAGTTATTAAGTTATTGAAAGATCAATACTTAACGAGTTCTGGCTGAGATGATTTTTCGCAATAAATTCTTTACAGATTTGAGGAAAAAGAGGGATTCTTATAGATGCTTGTTAGCATCAAAGATGTTAAATTGTTCGTCAATTTAATTCGTTACAGTGAACTCCGGCTTCATGTAAAAACTGTGTTTTAAGACAAAAATTGTGGCGCGCAGTTTGTGTAGGGATGGAGATTGTAACAATAAAAATTATACACACCAACATCCGTGTCAGTTCACATTGGCTTTATTTTGATAGCTTTGAAAAAACAATAAAAACATAAAAAATAAGATTAACAAAAAAAACAAAGATTAAATTATTGTATTTTTATAATCACTTAAATTTTATTACGTGGTTCGTTACAAATAGACAATCTCACACTTAATAACTCCGGGAGAGAAAATGGTACTCCGGAAAAAAAGACATGTGCGCTCACGTGCTCGTCTCGTGGTCGACTCTTCCCCGCGGTGGTCCTGCGCACCCGATTTCGCACCAAATCCACTTACGCCAATCAGCATCTTGCACGAGAGTTCGGCACGGGTTGCTCCAATCATCTATTCGCACGAATGCTCGCAACTCGCGCTCTCTTTAAATGCCTAATACCACTTCACGCAATATCTATATATAATAAACATGTTTTATCAAGCAATTTTTTTATTCTAAAAATTTAATCAAATAAACAACAAAAGAATAAATTTTAAATATACAGGGTATTATTATATTAATATATAAAACTTGCCGCTCGTTCAGATTCGATGAGCTTTATATATTAATATCTCCAAAAAATTTGTGAAGATCGCAAAATGGTAGAGGACTTTTTGTTCAGTTTGGTCCACACTACCTGCCCACAAGCGCTGTACCATTGATTTCGAGATACCCTGTATATAATGTTTATTGAAAATTAATCAATTTAAATCGAAATGTATAAGTGATCCCACAACAATATTTGTTGTAAATTTTAATCTCACAATTATGCCGTTTGTTGTTTATGTTTCAGGCGCCAAATGGCATTCACGGCGGAAGATATTAACTCCCACATTTCATTTCAATATATTACAGCAATTTGTTGAGATTTTGATCGAAGAAGGCAAAAATATGACGAAATTAATACGAAAAAATACAGAGGGCACAGTTGTAAAAGATTTAAAGGCGTTTATTAGTGAACATACACTGAATGCAATATGTGGTATTGTATTTGTAACTATACTACAGAATTTTAGTTTCATCGACGAATAATATAAAACAAATTCAATTTTTTTATTTAAGAAGCAATAATATACTGATCAATATATAAATTTTACAATTATTGATATTTTTAAAATACAGTATATTATCGTGCAACATATACAAATACGATTGCAGAAACTGCCATGGGCACTTCATTACAAGATCTTGGTGAATTTCAGCAACAGTATCGAAAAGCGGTTCATCAAATGGGTGAACTTCATGTTTATAGGTAATTTATAGATGTAATAAGTAATTATATATCTGTACTTTTTAAACATAAATTAATGTAATGTTTTATAATTATACCAAGGTCAATAATAATATACTTTATGTAAACCGTCGTAGTAACTAGAAATTTACAAAATTGTATTAATCTATATACGTACAAATCGTTAAATTATTCACTTAAAAATCAATATTGTTTAAAGCTTTCCAAATTTTATATATTAAAATATCACAAAAAAAATCAACGAACAATTTAGTATCAAAACAGATACGTCTTTTATGGATTTAAAATTTAATAATTAAAAGAATTTAATGTTTAAATATACCATAAGTACATATCTTTCTTAAGCATAATTTTGTATATGTATGTTGTAAATTTATTCTCTTTATAAATTTATGATTATTGAGTTGTTAGTTGTTACTAATTCTAAGAGTTTTATAGAGAAATTTAGAAAAAAGCTGTCCTTTACAAAATGATACTATCTCTTTTTTAAAATAGTGTATCTATTATACCTAATTAGTAATTGTGATTTAGGTTAGTAAGGCAATGGCTGTTCTTCGATTGGATATTTGATTTGACATCAAAAGGCAGAGAACAAACCAAGGTTTTGAAGATATTACATGGATTTACTGAACGAGTGCGTAAGAATGCTACTTAATATTGTATCTAAAATATTACCTATTTTTAGAAATTATGATAAAAATTTTGTCATAAAATTTTATATAAAAATATTGTAATATAATTCGTAATTGTTAACAATATTTGCTAATGCATTCATATAAATCATATAAAGAAGCATTAATGTTGTATTTACGTATGTTAGATTATTGCCGAAAGAAAACTTTATCATAGACGTACAAATGGTAAATACTTGAAAAACTTCGATAATATATCAGCCGAAGATGCAGAAACGATCGGAAGTAAGTGACATAATCAAAAACAATTTCTTTTTAGAGGCAATGTCTAATATTATAAATTATATTTTTTAATTTATTAACACGTAATTTCTAATTTAAATACATGTAACAATAGTTTCAAACAAAGCCGATATATTTAATATATGTATATATATATTATGTGCGTGCGTGCGTGCGTGCGTGCGTGCGTGCGTGCCTGCGTGCGTGCGTGCGTGCGTGCGTGCGTGCGTGCGTGCGTGCGTGCGTGCGTGTGTGTGTGTACACGATAAATAATAAGGAAGAAAGAGTTTTAAATAATTTTGGCTAAAGCTGGATATTGGTTGCTCAATATCATATTTTTAACTTTAAACCTTTAAATTTCAGCTACCCTAAACTACGTGCCACTTACTGTTTTTAATAATCGGTTTTAATAACCGAATAGTCATAGCTGTTTTAAGTTATCATTGAGTTCTTAAACATCGATAATTGGTGCACAATTTACAGTTAAAATTTAATTAAAGTTTTTTATATTATTTGAAATTTTGCAATATTTAACATTTTCTTAAGATAAACAAGAATAAACCTCAAAATCGATAAAAATAAAAAAAGAAATATAAAAAAAAGAAAAATATAAATAAAATAGTTTTAGAAAACTGCAAATATAAAAATAATTTAATATTAACAATAATATATCCAATATTATTTAAATTACAATTGCAAAAGAAAATCGTAAAAGTGTTTATTTTTTTGTTTGTAAAATTGATTTTAACTGATTCTACATATACATGTAGAAATAAATCAAAGATATATGAATCATGGGTTTCGACTTTGTTAATTATCTTAACGATCTAAACAGATTATGTTTTTATTAGTATATTAATAAGTGCAATGTTTAGTTTTCGAAAAATAAGAGGGTATTTCTTTAAAAGACTTAAACTACTATTAATATCGGTGATTTTCCTCTATATAATAAAGGCATTGAACTAAAAGGATTGAACTATTAAAATGATACTGACATGTTTATATACGTACTTTGATTTAGCAAAAAAAAAACGACTTGCAATGTTGGATTTTTTGATAGCGGCGTCTAATGAAGGACTTATGACTGATTTAGACATCAGGGAAGAAGTCGACAATTTTATGTTTGCGGTATAAATTTATAATTTAACTAAGGTTTGGAGCAAAAACTGATTAGCTCTATTTTTATAAATTTTACTAGAGTATGAACAAAAAACTGTTCTGTCAAGTATATTGTGCGAAAACAGTTGAAATTTTAAAGATTATTTTGAATTTGTCGGATTCGTTTCTTATAGCAAAGAACGCAGAACATTGCAATTTCATTTAAAAATCATTTTAGCCAAAAAATGGAGTGTAACGTTTTTGCACCAAGTTCTTTAATTTCTCTTGACTTTTAAGCACAATATGTGATACATATCAATTTAATGTGATTATAGGGCCATGATACTACAGCAATATGTATAACCTTCACTCTGGCACTATTAGCTGAGCACAGGGACATTCAGGTATCTATCGTGTCAAATGTTAGTCTTAGGAAAAGAAATTATTTAATTTTAATAGTCTGAAAGTTATTTGTTAAAAATATATAAAATTTAAAAATTGTTTTAAGTGAGCATGTATATGATATGTGTACTATTTGCTTTATTGTATGTTAATGAATTATACAAAAAATAAAATGTATACACGAGTGAGCTTGCGCGCAATATTTTTTAAATATTCTTTATTATTTTCAAAATATTTTATGCATATACAGAGTGTCCCAAAATTGGCGCATTCGGAGTACAGAACGTGATACTTTGTGCTAAAAGGAACAACTTTTTCCTTTAGCAAATTTTGATCTGACAAATGATCGGAAGAGCACACGT